TTAAGAACGTATTACAATTTATATTATATTTAAAATGAAAAAATTATAACAAATTTACAAATTCTAAATTGCATTTAAAAATAATACAAAATAATTTAACGGCGATTTAGAATCTTGATCAAAAATTATTTTACAATTATTATATAAATAAGTGGAACTGTGCTCTGATGGACATGTAATTAAGAAATAATGATAAAAATTTCTATTTTTTTTTATATGAGTACTTTAATCATTTATGTAGTTTCGTTGTGATGTAAAGATTAGTTGTTCTGTAAATAAAAATTTAATTTATCACTACTACGTTTTGTTTATACTCTCAATAAAAATTTAATTTTTATTTATAAAACTAAACAACTAATCTCTACATCGCAATAAAACTTTTATCTTGAGTACCTAAAGTACTTAATAAAAAAATTATACTTTTTGCCATTATTGCTTAATTACATTTTTATTAAAATCTTTATTTTTATTTAAATAATTTTTGATCCAGGTTCTAAATCACCGCAAAAATTTTTTGTATTACTTTTAAATATGATGTACAATATAATTTTTTCATAAATTTTTTATTATAAATAAAACTAACTATCAAGCACATCCTTAATCTAACTTTATGCTATACTTTGTTACAAAGATAATAAACATCGAAAGTCACATAGAAAGTTCGTTCATTGCGATCAAGCTCCTTTTGTGGACGGCAACCGATTTTAGTTCTCTTGTGTTTGCAGGATGCTCAGGAAATCCAGACGCGAAACGATTATACGACGATCTCTTATCGAATTACAACAAGCTGGTTCGTCCAGTGGTCAACGTCACAGACGCCCTCACCGTTAAAATAAAGCTCAAGCTTTCGCAGCTTATCGATGTGGTAAGCGGTAATATTTTTGCGGCCATTACTCATATAACAAGAAGCAAGAAAGAATTAATTATATAAATATTAGAAAGTTTTGATTTAATATTAATATCTTATTGACAAATATTTCGGAACGCCGTTGTTAACGTCATTACCCGAAGGCGAATTTTAGTCGCGTTCCTTATATTCCATAACGATACAAATTGTTAGACACAGATGCCGTTGACGCGTGTATATACGTAATCCGCTTTTTAATCATCTCGGGAGAGTATGTCGGCTCATAACGGAATGTTGCGATATATTTTCAGAGCAGAAGAGAGCGATGTATTTTCACAAAATTATTCTCTTGCAGAATTTGAAGAATCAGATCATGACGACGAACCTCTGGGTCGAGCAGGTAATATATTTCCTTTCAAAAGATCATATAAAGCAATTAAAAAAACCAAAAATTATGAAATATTTATCAAACGCTTGACGAAATGTTGATTAAATATTAGAGAAATATTTGTAACGAGTAGAATTTGTTGTAGCGATTATGTACACTGTGTGTCTACTGAAAACTTTTTTTTATTGTGATGTGCCGCCCGGCTGTGGAAAGTAAATATTTGGCCTGTCGATGACACGTTTTAACACGTGTCTATGTATGCGCGCGCAGATTTTCATACATACGCAGGAACGAAGATCGGACAGAAGCTTCCGCCCGGAGAAGCCAGAAAATAACTTCGGTGAACCGTGCAACCCACTTTCAAATGCTGGATTACGTAAGATAGATAGATTCGCCCCATGTACGCGACCGTTCTGGGATATATAGCGAGTACGAAATAGATTCGTGTAATAAATACGCGACTTGCGACAAAGAATCGGGTCATTAAAGAGCAGATACCTCGTGACACGATTACAAGACGTCATTCATTAATCTCTCAAAATCTCTCGTTATACATATATATATATATATAT